AGAGCTTGAACAACATAATAGGTAAGTAAATGTGCTGCCAGGTGTTTCTTGCCTTCTGTACTGAAGAAGATATTAGTAATTCTCAGTGTTACAAGAGTTAAAGGATAAGAGTATGAAAGTGTACAGGTGATTATTAGCACTGAATTCCACTGTCTCAGTAATGATTTATTTGGATCATTAGTGCAGGAAAGACGACACCGCAAAACTGATTTTTAAGACCCAGACCCTGGCAACCTAATTTTACTTTTTTATGAATCACATGTTAAAGTGCAATTGTAGGTAACTAAAAACAAGATAAAAATAAAGTCAGAATGCCAAAGCAGTTCCACAGGTGAAAAATAGCTGTTGATTACTAGATGTGGAGAACATACAGTAAGATAAAAACTCAGCCTTCTAGGCAAAGGCTACTGGAAGATGGAACATTTATCTTTTCAAATGAGATAAACAGGCATGCTTGGATGCCATTCTTCATTTAGAAGAGCAAATTAAATTAGTTTTAATACCTCTGTATTCATGTGAAACACATGTTATTTGGTAATCACTTTAAAATTCTCTTTAGTGCTAACTTCGGCTTTTTTATGACTTTTTTTTTTTTTTTTTTTTTTTCCTCCCCACTTTGATAATGGAATAACCTGGAACTTCTGCACCATATCCAATGATAAATGATGCCAGACCCTCATGGTTCATCCTTTTTCTGAATCTCTAAGGAGACTTATTTTTTTTCCATGGAGGTAGGAAGTTGATATTGCTCAAGAGCAGGACTTTGCTTCCTTTGATTTAGTTCTGCTCTTTTTTTCGATCTGGAATTGGAGATATCTAAATATGCAGAGATACAGAACCTGCTTTAAAGTCCAGGTTTCCTGATTGCAAACCTTTTTAAAAAATCCTCATTTTATTTTTTCATGACTGTGAGAGAAAAAAAAAAAAGGGCAAGATTATGATACAAGTCAGAAGATATACTTAGAAGATATACTTTAGGCTTAAAACTGGAATAAATTACCAGAATATATTTTTTACCTCAAAAATGATATCTTAAGTATCTAACATTGAATATAATCCAATGAAAATGTAAGCTTCATATTAAGATACATTAAAATGTATTTTCATACACCTTAATTTTTATGGAACTTGTGTGTGTGTGTGTGTTTGTAAGTGTAGCTGCCATGCTTCTGAAGGTGAAAACATCAGTTCATCTGGCTTCTTATGCTGTATCAGAAAATATATTTCTTCTGCTCTGACACACTTAGAGTATATCTGTACCGGTAAATAAAACAAGCCACTGACTGCTTGCCACATGGTTAAGTGCTATGACATAGCTCACATCCTTACAGCTGCATTCACTGGCTCATATCCAGTGGTCTGCTGGAACCACGATGCCAAATCCAAACTATCTACTGATAATGGTCATTGCTTCAGATGCAGTTTGGAAGACTGCTTTTTTGGCCCAGGCCAAAACTGTTCTAGGGATTATGCTAATAACTTAATAGCCTGGGCCCATGTTTGGTTCACAAATACAGACATAGTTTTACAGTTTTCATTGTAAAAACAATGGTTATTCACACATTTGTCAGCCTTCTGTACTCTGCAAATTCAGCATCATCAGCTGATAATAGCTTATTTCACTATTCAGAAGTTAAGAAATATAACATTAAGCCTCTGCATATTACATTACATTGCAAATCAAGAGGTATGGATACCTAACTTGTACCTAATATTTCTCTACTCTTTATATTTTAGAGCTCTTCCAGTATGTCTTCTCAGGGCATAAAAGAGGCTGGGTGGTGTCTTGCATCCTTTCTGTGATTACTATGAATAGTCATCTTCTGTGCTTTTCCATTAAAGTAATGGCAGCATTCTTTCAATTTCCAATTTTTCCCAGAACTGTTTCTCAATAGACACCATGAAAGCATATAAAGATTAAAGGCCACATGACAATATTGCTTCATATGTGAAAAATGGGAAGGAGCTTAGACTCTTGGAGCTAAAAGTAGCTCATTGCATTAAGTACCTTTCTGGGTCCTGTGCAACAGAGAATCTGCAGTTAAAATCCAAGTGGCATACATGTACTTTAATCTAATTGCCATAGAAAACATACAGGACAACTAGGGATCAAGCATTTTTGAAAATGTGACCACATCACTTACAGCAGGCTGACATCTGACTTGGAGGCTGTTGCTTTAGAAATCTGTAGGAGTAAATGTTGTGCATCCCCAAATCTCTCAAGGAAGGAAGAGTGAAAATGAAGGTTTTCTGTCTAGTGGAGAATGAACGAGTTACTAATAAGCATAATTATCATAAATGCTGGAGATAAAATTCAGGCCTCAAAAGAATCAATAGGAAATTGACTCTTAAACAGTCAGGATTTCATCTTGGACTTATTTTTTTGTTCACAACAGTTACTGATTTCCTACTCAAATTTCTGAGCAATTTTATGATGAGAGCTATTTTATTTAGTCCCTTCACCATTCAAAATGTCATTTATATTTTTTAAAAAAGAAGTTTATCTTTTTTTCAATACTTTCATGTACTTGTTTTTCACAATTTGTTGTTTACTTTGAAAAAGTAAAAAATATTAAAAGCAAGGCTTCACACAAGGATCACCCTTTAAAATGCTTGAGAATGGTCATTATATTCAGTAGATGGACTTAATCTGCAAGTTTTGCAGAAGTTTAGCTGAAAATTAAACATCTGTTTTGGATGCAATCAGCAACCTGTGCAGCAGAGTGGAAGATGAAGCCTTTCTGTCTCCTTAAGATGTTGAAGCTACAAGAACTGTCAAGAACTGTCATACAAAATCAGAAGGGAGGTCCTGAAAAGGTGTGAAGTTATATATATATATATATATATATTTCCAGTAAAGGAATATGCCTCAGTTAATTAAAAGAAGGAAGAAATAATTACTTGGTGTAAAAAATGGTTATACACCTTACAAATATATATCATGAAGCTGTCTGCCTCTAGTTCAGATTTTGCATACAGTTAGGTTTCTTGACTATTTATGCTACAATCTGAATTTATGCACAGCCTCATCTTCTAGTAGAACAGAATCTCTCCAGCATCAGAAAACTGGCACTTTTTTATTTTTTTTTTTCCCCAGCACATATAATACTCCCTTTCAGAAACTAATTAGAGACATGATATTTTATCCTTCTTTTCTGTGTTTTAAATCTCAACCAGATACCCACTGCAGCCTTGTGCAGTCTCATACCTCATGTTTTCTTTACGATGATTTAGGAATGAACTACAAAAGGATTGTAAAGACACTTGCTGAGTTCTTGCCCATATCTTGACATTTCTTCCTGTGCCAACTCTGCCAATTAGATAACTACCCAGTGGTCTAGATCAGGGAATTTAACATGGCTGAATTTTAACTTACCAGAAAGATTCAGACAATGCTGCCTTTTTGCATTCAGTGGATGGACTTGTGGAAGCTGTAGTGTTTTGTTGTACATGAGGTGTCTGGCCCAGCTAGAATTAACACCCAATGTCAGCAAAAGGAATGAAGTGAGAACATACTGCCAGTAGTATGGGTATAGGTTTTTTTGGCAGCAATCTATTTTTAGACAACATTAAAACTCTTGTTAAACTGGGGTCTGAGGTTCACTGAACTCAAAGCTCTGCAGACTTCATTTATCATGGCTGATCATGTTCCCTTCTTTGCTGACCATTTTATCCCTTCTGTGTCAGCTCTAGCAGAGAATGAGCTGGTTCAGTGAGTGGATGCAATAGAAAATTATTATCTTTAGTCTTAGTTAGATTAGTTTTTGGTTAGATTAGTTTTCTGGGGGATCAGCAAAGTGTACTAACTTACTCTTAGGTCACTTAATTATTGGATCCAAGGCCAGTGACATGGCAGGAAGCAGATGAAGGAATCAATGCAAGGACAGGAGAAGCCCTTTTGAGGGTTACGCATGCAATTTCATGAGATTAGATGTAACATCAAACTACACCAGAGTCATCAACTCTCTTTCGGCTCCCAGTGAATGAGTACATGACATTTAAATTCAGCCTTATGTAGTCACTTCCTGGCAAGTTAGACAAACATCTTACTTAGATTATTTCTCCTTGATCATTTCAAAATACCAGAACACATTCAAATAAATCCCTGATGATTTTACCACCCATTCTTAGGTTTATATTGCAGTGATTGCTCTTAACTTTGAAGGTTGTAAACAGTAAGAATTCCTATTTTTTTCTTTACATTAGCAGCTAGAAGCTCCAATCAAGGAAATGGGTTAGATAGGCAGCTACTCTCCCATGGAGTTAACCATGAAGATAAGCTTGAATGAAATAGTAGTTTATATGGTCCCTTAAAACTGCTGTCTTTCAAGTCTCTTCTACTTCTAAAAAAGTGCTTGCAAAAGCTGTGAAATTTCATTACAAAAGGTATGGAAACTATAAAACAATTTACTTGGCTATGAAGAACAGAAGATGAAAATGGCATGCATTTTTGGGGAGAAAAAAAAAAAAAAGTATTCTGTAGAAGAATTCTTCTGCAGAAGAATTTCAGTCTGCCAGGAGGAATGTCGTTAACAACAGAATGACTGAAGATTTTATCTACTATTAAAAAGGCCATAGGATTTGTCAGATGACAGAGTTTGCCTGGATGGTTAAGCAACTGTGTTCTAATCCACAAACTGGGTCACACTAACATGTCATATTGGTTTTCACTTTTGATGTGAGCCAAATAAGCCCTCTAATACACATGTATTGGGTACCCAGCCTGAGCAGAGAAGTGGTAATGAACTACTGAAAGCAGGAAGGAACAGGTTCTTAAACTGCTTCCTCAGCCTGATATTAGCTTAAATTCTAGAAGTTATTCAAGGCTACAGGTTTTGCTTGGCTTTGGAAATGCTAGGTTGATATGAGAAATGGTTTAAGTAGGTGCTGACTTCCAGGCAGTAGCTGCTCAGCAGAGAAATTTAGCAGCCCCCATGATGGCTCCAAAATCAAACAAATGGGGAGCAAAATCACTGCTAAGAAGGAAGCTCTAAACTTACCTGCTTGTCTGTTATTCGAAATAGAATATCATTATTCATGCAGACAGAGCTACAGCGGAGAGATGGATTAGGCAACTCTTGCATGTTCCCTCCCAGCGGTGAGCTCTCTGACCCAACAAGAAAGCACCAGGGCACCACGCCGACCTGCTGCCAGTGCAATCGCTGCACTCCTGTGTGCTGCCTTCTGACTGCAGCTCTGCCTTGCTCACCCCTAGCAACTTGTGCCTGACTCAAGCTTAATCATTTCATAGGCTAGTTTATATCTGGTAACAAAGAAAATCAACAGGGTTTCTTTGAAGTCAGATCATTTGTTGAAAATCAAGCTAGATGAAAAAAAGCCATACGGATTTAAATCCACAAGCACAGCAGTATCAGAAGCAACCCAGAGTGAGGTCTTCTGCTGGCTTAGAGGAAGCTGGAAGAAATAGAGCATACTCCATGACATTTTAGGAAAGCAAAGTTATAGATTCATAGCTATGTAGCTATGGCTGTAATAAAGCATCTGAGATCGCTGGAATTTATTGCATAGAAAGGTGACTGTAGGTTTTCACTGGCTATACAGGATGTCTGAGGAAGTGATGCAGACTAGACTCCTAAACTTTAGGCATCTATATTTCAGTAAGTTAAATCCCATCTGCAGTTTCTCACTTTCTCTGAGGAGCTGGGTGAGGTACCTAAGCTGGGGGTAAACTAGCCCTTGTGAAGTGAGAAGAAAAGCTTCTGTGTATGAGCTTCAACTAAACAAAACAAATACAATTATTTGATGACTACTTCAGTCTTCAGTGCAGTGTGACTACATGATAGTTCTGTATGTAGAACAGCTAATAACTATTTAACTAGTAACTAAAACAAGCTCAGATACCACTATAGGTTAACCAGTATATTACTGTTTTCCTCTAAGTTCAATTTTTATTTTCACATTCTTGCACTGTATTTTATGCTCTACAATCTCTCTGAGAGTTTTCCCAGTGACCAGAAATAAGTGTGAGCTTCATGTAAAACATGTAGTTAGAAACAAAGTATTGATTTCAGTGCTCTTTTATGAATGCCTGAATAATTGTCCTGTATGGACAAGAAACTGCCTGAAGGCAGAGACAGTCTTGGTCTCAGACAGGGCTTTGTCTCAGAAGAGACAAAGATAGGCTCAAGTTTTGTGTATAATCACTTGCTCAGCCATACTACTGATTCCTAGTGTCCTGACAAAGGAAGCCATAGGTACATCATGGAAAACTCTTGCAGAAACTTTAGTCTAGGAGTTGTCTTCTCATGGCTTAAAGTACACATTGTTTCTCTTAATCATTAAAAAAGAAGGGCCTCGAACATTTTTACATTCACATTAGAAGCGCAACAGAGAATGAACAGCATGAGCAGAGAAAATGTTTATTTTTCATATGATTATATGCTTTTCTACTACTTAATCACTTGGAAAACACTTCTGTCAAAACTAGCTATTTTCTATACTGTTCAGTGAATCTTGTTTCTTTATTCACAGAATCACAGAATAGCTGAGGCTAGAAGGCCCTGGAGGCCATCTGCTCCAACCCCTGCTTAAGCAGGGCCACCCAGGATCATGTCCAGGTGGTTTTGAAGATCTCCAAGGAGGGAGGCTCCAAAACCTCTCTGGGCAACCTGTGTCAGTGCTCCGCCAGTTTAGAATTTGACTTCCAGTGCCTGTCCTTGCATGCCTGGCTGCATGATTGCGAGCTCCCCCTCTTGCCTGTAGCAGGAATTGAGAGAACCGTGTAAATTCAGCCTTAGGTTTTCCTGCAATTTCTGTTAACTGTGACTATACAAATGTAGATATTAGTACTGCATGTCAGGTCTAGACTTCCAGGTTTTGACATATAAAGTATATCTAGAACAGATTTACATGCACATTTTTCAATGAATTGTTCAAAAAGTTGCACCCTTAATTTCCACCTTTAATTTGCCTTTGCAAAACAGTGTCTGGTCTTTAGTTATTCAACCCATGATAAACTGTGTTAGCCCTCATAACCATAACATGCAAAAATACATACTCTCAGTCTTCCTAGTTCATGATTCCATGCTTTACATTTTAAACAGCACCCCACTGATTTGTGAGTATCTCAGCTTTCAATTACATTCCAAATCTCAGGCTGCTGGTAACCTTTTATCTCTGCTCTTATCAACTTTTACTACTGAGTGGCTTTAAGAAATAGATATAGTAATCAAGGAGTGGTGCTCCTCCCTAGATTTTGATCAAAGGCATTTATTGACAAAGCAATTTGTAGCAACACACAGAAAACTAACCAATTTAGAGCATGGACGAGGTGCTTCTCAAATAAAAATATACATAAACTGTGATTTTGCTTGCTAGAACACTTTTTGTTTTCTTCTTTCAAAACTGTGTTTAAATATGCAATGTGATCAAATTCCAATATCATTGTAATAATGAGAGATTTGTACAAAAGTGAAATAATTGAAAAACTATGCTAAAAGCTTTTTATTTGAAAAGGAATATTCATATTCATACTACGTATGAAGGTATAGCTACTGAGCTATAAAACTCAATAATTTCCCTGCATATCCGACTGCCAGGGTATTTAATTCAATTAAAGCAAAGTATTCTCTAACATGCTGTGTAAATCTCTTGAAAAATTAGCTTTTCCATTGATCTAGGCACATAGCTACTCATTGGAGAAATCAATTACTTGGTATGCCCTGATAAAAAAATAAATTAAGATGGTGTTAAGACCAAGAAAACAATTAATTCAAGGGAAAATATTGTACAGATTTGTTCCAATTACATCAAAATCAAAGCTGGAAAACATGATTAAACTTAAAAGAGATCCACTCATTATGGCAATCAATGAAGATTAAGACTCTGAAATATCTTTATCTGTGTGGCAGTGATATGATTATAATTACAGCATTTTGTATTTGTGGTCCTGGATTAGATTATTTTTCATTTTTAAAAGTACATAAAATTCCTCGAACCTATGTTTTCCCTACTTATGGTATCACTGAAGGGCAGAGTTAAAAAGTTATTTTGGTGCCAGACTGCCCTAATCTTAATGTGTTTGGATTTCCATTATGCGTAACCAGACTCAAAGAAAACACTGACACAGATGCTAAATTTCTTAAAGGACACAGTTTTAAACAAATTATGGGGTACATTGAGATAATGTATTTACCTGGAGACTTAAAAAGACTCATCCAGCTCTTCAAGATTGTGTTGTAAACATGGGGTGAACTTGCTGCCTGGATACTACATTCTCTGCTTTGGGTACACAGCAAATGAGACTTTGTGGCAGAATTACAGATAACTTCTCTATAATTACACTAGCGTTGACATGCCTTGACTTAGATGAGTTATTGTACATGTTGTGTACACGCATACTGGGAATCAAGTGCTATTGAAGACTGTCAAGGTATTTCTATTGACTTCAGTGGACTCTACACCAGGCCAATAAGCAGGGCTAGGCTTTTGTCAAAGGGTCTTGCACTCTACATAGAAGGACAGACAAAATGCAGGGCAAAGGAAGTATTCCTATCAACATTTCAACTAGGAAACCACCTCCAGAGTTTCTCCAACATCTTCCTCACCTGTTTATGTTGGCTTGAAGACCCAGTGAAGATACAGATGCCTACTGGAATTAAGTGCAGCTTAGCAACATAAAACTTTGGCAAACTGGCATGAGAAACACCTTCTGCGGGGTGAGATTTTTCCAATGGAAAGCCCCTGAATTATCTATGCAAAGAAAAAATAATCTGATCGATAGCTTTCCAGAAAGCTGCACTATGAGAAGTTTGCAGCCAATGAAACACCTGCAAGTGAAAGTAGCTTCTTTATACTAATATTTATAAATTATTTTAAATGAGTCTGTCAGCATTATTGTGTGTTGCTGTCTGCTTATCAAATGTCATGAATTGTTTATTCCATTTGCAAAATGCTTAGCAGTGATTTTAACTTCTTCCAGAGTCAGCTTCCACATAGCTCTGTTAAAGTGATGTCCAACCTTCCTATTCTGTCATTGCATTATACTTTGAATCATTCTTTGTGCCTTTCTTGGTTAATGCTTATATTCTGCACTTAAAAGACTTTAATTTACACTACAGTATGCTTCCAAACAGGAGTTTCTGAGAGCCAAATGAATTTTAAGACTTGACAGTTGATCACACTGAATTCTACAGGGCAGTAAAACAAGCAATGAAAATGAAATTAAAGCTTTGGATAAAGAGTGAACTTACAAGGTAATATCAAAAGAGCAGGAGATAAATTCTCTTCTTAACTCCTTACCAAGTTGGCAGTTTTTACAGCAATTACAGTGTGTTAGAAATTCCAGATTAAATCTTTTCATCAAAGATTAAAACCCCTGTTTGCACTGACTTATGAAAATACATTCAATTGTTATTAACAGACTTTAATTGCACCAGTATGCTTTTCACTACTTAAAAAGGCCTTTGTTCTTCACAAATAGTGATACAAAGGTAACAGCAATACTTGAGTGGCTTTTACTGCTTGGATGCAAAATAAGAGTCCTTAAGCTTTAAAAATCTTTTCTCTCAGAGATACCATCTTTTGCCTGGAGCTAAAGGAATTAGGGGATATTTACATGATTTAAGGCTAATTTTACAGCATATTATGTTCCCTCTCTGCCATGGAATCAAATACTAGAGGATTTGATTTTTTTAAAATGTAAATAAAGGTAAAATGTAATAAAACTATTGTTTATATGGGAAACTTCCATGTTAATCTGGAAACAATATGCAATATTGGAATTGTGTAACTTGGTGGTCAGCAACAGGAAAAATAACAATAGCTCTGGGAAGATAAGTACGTGTGATAATGCATACAGAATTTATACTAGACACTTGGAATAAAATCAATATTACATTTTAACTTTGAAACATTGTTTAGGTGACAGGGGAAAAGAAAACAGCCATAAAAACATCATGATAGATATGAACAAAATATATCTAAAATGTGATAAACAGAGCAGTTTGATCAAAATTACCACCCTCATCATTTCTACAGATTATTTCCGAATTGTGCATTCCAGCTATGACCAGAAAACTTCAGCAACATTTTGGTGAGGGAAAATGCAGAGTTAGTCCAGAGGAGGAACAGTTGTTGCTTTTCTCTGAAGAAAATGTTTAGCTCAAGGCAACTAC